AGAGTAAAAACTGTGGTTTTCTCTATTTTCCCGTAGGAAACAGGAAACCTGAATCCCTGGTGATGGGCAGCTAAGGAAGACCAACGTGTGCCACCCGACCCTCTCCTTTTAGACACCATAACCTCCTGTGCAGTGCTATTCCCTTGCTATTCAGCGACTGCCTCAGCTACTAACTTGATGGCTCAGCTTTGCCAGCCTCCAGTAGCGCTTGGTCAGCATGTCTTTCTTTGCAAGCCAGTTGCTGCTAGCACATGTTTGAGCCCTGCTCTGTTTGCCAGAAACCGAGGCTAATTTATTTAACTTTTCAACTAAAAAAAAAAAAAAGAAAAAGAAAAAAAAAATCATTTAAAAAGGGATGATTGAATTTGGGAATTATAGTCCTCAGAGAATTAGTAATGGACCTCTCTCCCCCTCTAGGCCTCAGCATTCATAACTTCCCCATGTCAATGTTATTATGAATACACTAATTCAATAATGAGCTCATTCCCCCCACGAGAGCCCAAATAGATGAAGCACTCCGTCATACCTTGTTGTCCTCTGTGTGAGCAAGTCAGACGTTGCGCCTAATTCAGTCTGTGTCAAATGGTGACAAAACTGATTCCCATTAGTTTTTACTCCAAAGCACTGCATTGAGCTTTTGCCTTTGACCCACACCTGCTTTTAGATTTCGAGCTCCAAACCCTTCCCTATGAATATGTCATCTGTGCAGCTGCCTATTGCTGAAATGGTCACTGCCAAGACGAGCGAACCTGTGCATTTGAGACACCAGTTCTCTTTTTATATCTATTTGCAAAGTCAATACAGATCTTTGCATGTCATTTAATTGGACTGTCATTAATGTGCTCGTTCCAAAAGCTCCGTCTACTTTTTGTGACGGGACTGCTTGGGTTCTCAGCAGCAGAGTGCTGCTGGCACTTTGCTAATGGAGTCAAAAGTTAACGACCTTTCTTTCTTTAAGGAGACATGGGCGTGTTGGTCTGAGTACAGGACTGGGAGATAGGAAATGGGAAGATCTTAGCTCTGGCCCTGACACCTTTCTCCCTCCCTGACATACTCTATTCAGTGGCACCAAGTGACGTATTTGACATCTTGGCTTCACTGTGCACAGCTATAAAAGATGGCTTCTACATTGCCTATTGTAAGGGGGGTGGCCCGAATGGATTTTGAGGTCCTTTTGAACCTTACAATTCTCTGCATCAAGGGGCTTAATTAATACTTATCAACTTCCGCTGCCTCTCGACTTCAGCACTTGCTCTTTAATGACCAAAAGACGAAACAAGATTTAGGATAAATGTCGCACGCTATTTGTAAAACAGCAGGGTATTAGCCCTGGTATTCTGCTCAAACCCTCCCCTTCTGGGCAATTATAATAGTCTGCCTACCTCAAACTCGTCCATCAGTTTCTATGAATACAAGATTCTTTTCAACTCTCCGGGACAAATAGGACTCCCATTAAATCCAGCACGCAAACTTTGCCAAGAGAACAGGAATATTTTTGTTAAAACAATGAGCTGTCTCTTTTACAGCCACTTGTGATGACAGGTACCTGCCAAAACACAACGCTAGAGTTGGCAAAACGTCATGGCGTTCCTTTGATTTCAATGGATGGGCTTTCCGAGCACAGCAGCAGGGAGGACTAAGCAAGGCAATTCAATAGGGATGGAAGACGTGTCTACTGCTTCTGTTTTTAGAACAGACCTTTCAAGGGACAGAGCCTTTTGAATCCCTAAGCCTGCGGTGCTTTACTCTTGCCGCCCAACTGGACATTTCCTAGGGGACGTACCAGGCTGATAGCAGGTAGCAATCATAACGTGACTAATTTGGTGGAGGCTAAACTCAAAGTGACCTTCATTCTGCTGAACGATTCTCTGCTGACCGTCCTGTATAAAGGAGGGAGAAGTGAATGGTTTCTCCAGTGTTGGGTTTTTTCACTCCACTGGTCAGCTTTATCCAGTGGAGAGATAATGCCTTAAAGCGATCTCTCTTGTCAACACAGACGTCATCTTGCGAACAAAAGGGAAGGGGGAGACAGGGGCAGGCGCGCTTTCCAACTTACCTTGCAAAGTCCAGGTCAGCCTCCCGGGACATAGTGATGTTGGTCAAGTTCTGCTGGAGGATGAAGATGTTTCTGCACATTTTTTTGATGCCGGATTCACTGATGCGCTTGAAGTACTGGGCTCCGTTGATGAGAATGCAGGAAATCAAGTGGCCCAAGCCTAGGGGAAGGAGCGAGAAGTCAAAGAACTGGAAGATGAAGGACATGTAAGCATTGCCCTGCTGTTCCCTTTTAATGGATGGTACAACTCATGCTCTTAGGGTGGGTTCTGGATCCTACCTTCACCACCCTGCTATTTTTTGGGTGACTTCCCCCTGACTGTTTTTAAATTAATAAAAAAAGATAAATCTAATACACCAAGAATTATCATGAAAGAACAGAAGTAAAACTTTTTGTAGCCACTGATCTTTCCGGAGCTTCAAGTGAGCCCCCAGATTTATTAAATAGATTCTGGATAATTTTCTTGCCTTTCATGACCTCAGTGAGAAATTCTTACAGCCTCTTGTTAGCACTCGTCTCAACTTCCCCGCACATCTGTTGAGTTACAGCTGTTCGATCTACTGAAACAACTATTTTTCCCCCCTCCGGCACCATTGCCAGAACAGAAGATCCAACATTGTTGGAAAAAAAAAATGATCCACGTTCTGCCTCGGGTACCATCAACATCCAATCATTTTGGACACAGCGCCAGTCATTACGCTAGGAGTAGAATAAAACATTAAGATCTCCACATATCAGGTTGAGCTTTCAAAGCTCATGGTTAGGAAGCAAATCTAGATTTGTTCACAGATGCTAGCAGTCTTGCTCTCAGGTTATGCATAGGGAACAGCATCAAGATGCTATTTGGAGAGATGAGTCTCATTGAGGGTTGTAGGCTGCCTTGAGCAGGGGGTTGGACTAGATCACCTGATGGTCCTTCCAGGCCTATTTTCCACGATTCTTTGGTCCTTCAGACTTCACTCAGGAATATGAACAGTACGTAACGTGGGGAAAAGCATTATTGCAAGGCTTCCCCACTCTGCCTGCCTGTCATGCTATATAAAGCAAGACTTGTATCTCCTTGGATTATTTTGACCTTGCACAATCCGTTGCATAAAATGATCTGCACTGTCCTAGAGGCCAGAAGACCATTAAAGCCACAGAGGAAATATAAATGAGATGAACTAAACATCATTTAGACTCGTAAAGGTCTTTACAGGTCGTAGCCAGGTTGGTCTAAGGACATAAGCAGACAAGGGTCTTTGGGTAAACCTGATATCTTTTATTAAATCAAGCTAGAAAAATTCTTCTTTACACCTTCCAAGCTGTTGAAGCTCTCCTGTTGTTCACATTTAACTTCAGAAACAGAACTGTGCTTCGAGTAGGGCCTGCTCCATAACAGACCGCAGAGATTTTCTGACGGAGGACCTCACTGAACAGACTGCATCTTACACGTTTCCCCATCTAAAATGGGCCCATTCCTCATGTTTACCCATTTATACAAAGGAATGGCACGGGGCAGCAGGATTTCCATCTGCCCTGTGTCTGTACAGGTCTCCTTATCAATCTGCTGCAGATGGCTGCCATGCCACGGTCTGCGTTCCCAAGCAAGAACGTTTGCAGCTCTAGGCTGAGAACAAAAACCTCGTTTTTTGGGAAGACCCAAAGCGTAGACCGCGTTCAACGTTGCAGAGCAGACTCCTGGCTCCCCCTCCCTCCTAGCACATCAGCCATCCTTTCCAACAGAAGTCTGACCTTCAAAGATGTACTGGAACTTGTGCTGCTGCAGGCTGGCGCTCATCGCTTCCTCGATGGCGCTGATGTCCTTATTCAGCCGCACCACGAGAGAGTCATAATCCATACTTTCCACATTGGCGACAATCGCATAATTCCCTTGTTTAGCCAGTGGGATCAGATAATGGAAGCAATGGACTCTAGGAGACAGAAGGCAGAGACAAGGTAAGGTAAGATGTTAATATTAACCCACTGAGCTATTTATCTAACGTCGTACAGATTTGGCTGGAAGAAATATCGAAGAAACTGTTTTAGCTTCCTGGATATATAGACCCATTGGCAGGAAAAGCTGTCTGCGGATAAGCTTTACCCTCGTTAAAAACGTGTTTGGGTGAGTTGAGGGCTGCTAAATACTGGAGCAATAGCTCTATATACTGAAGCCCTCTTTGGTACAGGTCCCATTGAACCAATACGGGGTGGGATTTCCATTGCTTCAGTGGGAGTGATATAACCCCCTTAATAATCCACCGAGCAAGCGCGGCAACTGGACACGACAAACCAACCACCACCGTGACATATGGAGGGGCCATGCCAAGTCTCTGGTTTGTTCAGTCCTCAATCTCTCAGCTTTGATTGCTAACAAGGGCGATGAACTGCAGCGGCATTTTTCCTGGCTGAATACTCTTCTCTGGGACCAGATAGCAACCTCCAAAACCAGAGGCATAGCAATGCGGCCGAGCGCCCGGGGCGGCTGCCACGCACAGAGGCAGGAGCGCCGTCTGGCTGCTACCACTGCTGCAATCGCATGGCTGCAGCACCAGCCTGGCTTTTTCCCCATCCCCACCACCCAAGTCGGTGCCCGGGGCAGCTCCCCAAGTTGTCTCACTCCAGTTACCCCACCGTCCAAAATGCATTTCATACAAATCACCGAGCAGGCACCAGCCGGCGGTAACTTTCTCAAACTTCCCGACTTGTACTGGCTTTCAACTGGCAGCCAGGCAGAAAGACGAACGCTTCGTCTCATTAGCAAGTCTCTAAAGGCATCTAAAGCCCTCAGTCCTTCAATAATTAACACTGCTTTTAGTGCCCTGGCTGATCCCAAATAGAATTGATTGGCAATATTTTGTTACCATCGTGCAACAGGACTGAAACGGCTGCAAAATAAGCCTGGCTTCCCCCCCACCTCTGCAAAATGCTGGCATGTTCGCGCTGACCTTGACGTGACTTTGGCATTAAGGTTTTCTGAAAACACTGCTGATTGCACAGCGGGAGGGTTGATTTTTGTAAAGTGCATATTTAGGATGTTACCGTGATACATGGCTGCGACAATACGCAGCTAAGGTCTCCTGAAGGTAGAGCTTTTATTTAAAGCAACTGCCTGATCAAGGTGACATTTGAAGCTGGTCTTGTACGGTGCAACAACTTAATATTTCCTCTTTAATAGGGGAAAAATAATAATAATGATCATGATAAATTGGCTGGTGATTTCTGCCTCAAACGTATCCACCTCTCAGCATGTCATTTTGCTCCCTTCAGAGACGAACAGAACCAGCTCTTGGGGATCAAATATGACCTATGCAGTTCCAGGTAAAAATGCCAAGTGCCTTTTATTCAGATCCTCCACCCTAGCACATGCAAGTCCAGCAAGCACTTCATTGTAGGATCTTGGGGGGAAAAAAAACCTCTCCATGTATCCTTAAGCCCTAGTAACATGTTAAAACAGGCAAAATAGGAGCCAGGGGAAATAAAGCAATAATTAGCTAGCCGTGGCAGTGCCTGCTCACAGATATTTAACATTATCACTATTTTTTTTTACCCTTGAACAGTTCATGAAAAGCTCTATAAAGCAATACGCTCTTGTACTATTCCTGAGGTATCTTTTGGAGAAGTCCCAGACATTTATATTACCTCTTAGAGGGCCTACAGACTTTTAATTTAGTTCTAGAGAAATTACCCCAAAATCTAAACGGGGCACCAGGCTTCAGTGAAGTCCGCAGCAGAACCGGCCGGGAATTTAATATGGTTTCAGTTATTTTCCACGGGTATTTCTGAAACCGTACGACAGGACACTATAGCAGGGAAAACAAGATCGGATCCTGGCCCATGTTACGTTCCCTTTGCACTGTGGGAGCAAAGCGGTGCAGATCTCCTAAGGAACGAGCCAAGACCTTCCCAACACTGGGAACCACCAAGTTAGCACAGGCCTGGCATACGTGAAAGTGCTATAAGGGCAGGAGGCAGCACAGATTGGGGCGTCCTAGTCTCTTGTGATGCCCACTGGCAAAATGTCTCGTGAGGGGCTATTATGAGCCTGTACAAGTTAGCGCAGCCCCAAGGCTCCTCTAAACTGCACACAGAACTGAAACGGTCCCTAGATGCAGCAGACGGCAGAACGTACGTGGTTGAACCTTGCTGGTGCTTATCTTCATGCACAAACCCTGCACCTGAGCCATCAGCTAATAACTGTAGAAGACAAGAACATAAAAAGCAGCGTGCTGGGTCAGGCCAACGACGCATCGAGCCCAGCATCCCATCTCCAGCAGTGGCAGAAGAGGATGCTATAGAGGGAAAGCGTTGAACCAGGTATCTCTAGAGCGATCCATGCCCTGCTCAATACCCTCCCTGGCATTTGCCATTATAGGTTTAGAGATGCCAGAAGAAACATCGCCAACTGTTCTGTTCAACAGCTGCTAATAGATCTATCATCCATGAATTTTCTGTTAATTCCTACAGGATAAGTCAGGTGTGGTTATTAAATTTGAACAAGAAGAATGGCATTGTCATCAAGGAAGGCGACAGAGATTTGGATTTTTAGGCCATGTGGCCAAAAACGTGACGTGGTAGTTAAGGCAAATTATGTAACTCTGCCTCGGCGGTCTCCCTCCGTGACACTGGGTCAATACTACATCCCGACATCCTAGGACTAATAGTGCTGGGTTAATGTTTATGAAAGAGCTTTAGGATTGTCTAATGGACAGAACCAAAGCTGTACGTGCCAGCAGGATTATTGTGAATATGGTTACTGATCTGCAAGTCTCAACGAGGGTCGTTTTAAATGAGCAGCTAAAAAATAAAAAAATGAAGGGACAATTTCTTCTTTCACGCACGCTGCTTGCTGAGTGGCACAGCACGACTTTAGGTATAGGAGAGTCTTGCGTGGTTCTCGCATTGCTGCAGGCTCTTGCATTGCTGCAGCCCAAAACTGACCAAGCCCCTACAGGCCAAAACTATGAAGCAACTGGATGAACTGGAGGAGAAGGCAATGCAGAGGCTTTCTGTAATGCAAACCCCGGCTTTGCTTTTGCTTGTGTCGCAGGGAACCACCTGCAACAGCAAGGGGCCCGCCACATCCCCGTGCTCTTTGGCAACGTGCGCTGAGGGCCTGTTTATAGAACAGGTTTTTCTGAATCAAAACACACCCCGACAATGGCAGAAATCCCAGGAGCTGGCACCGTCCTTTCTGGCAACCCTGCTATGGAAGAGATGCCGGAGGGACTGCTTTTGGCCGCCTGGTGTGGCAGGTGGTTGGTGCACGCGGCACGATCAATAAGAGGGAAACTCCCACAGAAAGATTTTACTGGTCATTAGCTCACCTTGGTTTCCTTTCCAGTCGCCTGCAACAAGCCTCTCATAATTGGCTTTTTGCACTGACAGCATCAGATTGGGCCCGGATAATGGCCAGATCACCTAAGGAAGGGGACAATCTCCTATCTGCTACCTCCCTCAACCTCATGTTACTCGCACCCCAGCTGCCTGGTGTACCGAAACTGCGGGCTAATGGCAGCCCGTTCGGTGCCTAGAGCCCGATGCGTGACAGCGGTAGGGTTTGGCTGGGCGTCCCCACCTTCTCCTCCTAATGCCTCCAGGTCTGGTTTTTCTGGGTGCTTGTAAGTGAAGTGAAGTATCCACTGGAACAGGGCGCGCAGGTGGAGGGGCTGCAAAACGCACGTGAATGGTTTTATTTCTTCTTTGAAAAAGAGGAGCTGCGCTAATCTACCCAAGCACGGGATAAAGCTCAAAACGGGTCACATCAGGACAAGCCGCCGACCCATCGAATTGTGCAGTTGCCCTGGAGGAAGACAAGCAACCAGCGCTGTACACCCGGGAAAAACTGCTTCCCGAGGCTCTTCTTCCTGTGACAGCTGCTGGCCTTCACTCTTGGCCCTTGTAGCCCCATATATATCTACAAAACGAGCTAGCTGGTGCCCCCACCTTTCTCCCCTTTCAGCACCGATGGTGTGATTTCCCAGACCGCCCTCCGCGGCACAATGAGGGATAAACATTAAAAAGATGTCAGATGCAAGACCGTTCTTTTTGTGCTGCTTCGTTCTTTTGTCTGCAAAAGGCCCCTCTCTCCCCCACCCAAACAAAGTTTTTCCTAGTTTGATTTCTAATGCACAAATTGTTAGAAAAAAAGAACGGTTTCCCCCTCAAGCTTTCCCCCCGCTCTGACATGTTGGGCTCCTGCGGTGTTTCCCTGCATCCTGCGAACCACCCAGCCTCAAACCTCAGGGCTGAGACGCGACCAGGAATGGGGCAGCCTCTGCACACCCATCCCGTCTCTTCTTCTAGGGATTTGTTAGAGAGCATGGTGCCAGACTGGACTGAAGGCCGAGGGGACAACCTGGTTCCTGCCTGCAGGTCTCGCCTCCTCCCTGCTCTTCTTTCATTCACCCTCTGCAGATTCCTCCCAAACTGGATTGCTCGCAGGCTACATTAACTCCTATCCACACTGAGGTGATTTGAGCCGCCGTGGCCGTGTAATAGTAGTGTTTTCCTCGCTGTGGCTTGCAGAAGCTATGAGATGGAGTGTGCAAGATGATACCATTGAACACACCCATGGATGCACGTGTGCATGCGTGCGCACACACGAACCCTTTTAAATTCCCGGAGTCTGATGTCCATCATGATCCCTTATCTCCCAATGAATGTCAGGCACTTTCTGGAAGAAGTGCATCTAATTACCGGAGCTTTACAACAGTCTTAACCACACGGATTGATGTAGACACCCCAAACACAAAGACATTATACGGTACCTGACTTCCAAATGGAGGACCAGCAGACAGCGGTCAGCCATCTCTTGGAAGGACTTGGCCAGTTCACTGAGGGTCTGCGTGATCTGCTCGGATGCTGGTGGGAGCTCCATGCTTGCATGGCTGTCCTGACCTGGCGACACTGCTGAGAAGACACAAGGCACATGTTAGTGGTGAGGAATATGTTTAATCAAACAGCTGCACTTTGGCGACCGTGTCATTTTGTCTACCTCCCCCGTGCAGCCGCATAGGTTTAGCTAAGCTCTGATGTCTATAATGCTGGAGCGTATGAAGCAACAAACTGCTTCTGCAATCAATTAAACTCCAAAGCAAAGCTGAGGGGTTTAATCAACCACCAAGATCATTTGTGCGCAAGGATATTGCTACGTAGCTGACATTTCTATAACCACAAGGCAAGGGGAAACGTATAAACCGCCCCCTGCACAGTGCAAAAAGGGGAAGGACGGTTTCCTGTGGTTGGAGCACAGCTCCTAAACGACTAGGTGACACCACAATTAGCCCCAGTGCCGCTGTGTTTGCACCAGACTTAATGAATAGTCCAGAACAAGTCCTTCAACATCCCTCTCCGCCCCCTGACCCTAACGTGGGAACGTTGATGCCCCTGGCCCCGCGAAGCTGCTGTGGGAATTAGTTCAAGTTTGTTCAATGCCTTGAAAAGACCAGCGTAGCAGCGCACAACGTTCGGCAGCGGCGGCTGGATCAGTCTAGATCGGGCAGGTGCTTCTAACATAGCTGCTGCCACTTCTCCTTGCTGCCCACCTGCGGCATGAACGAAGCCCCAAATTGCTGCCCGCCCCGCGACCGCCTGGCTTCAGCGTGGGCAAAGCCCCTTGGTTCTGCGGCCCAGATCCAAAGGCTCCACAGACGATCTAGCGCACATGTTGCTAACTCCTGCCCAAATACATTGAATATTACAGACTTTTTTTTTGTTGCAAAAATCTTATTGGTCTAATAAAAGATATCGCCTCTGCTGCAAGTCCTGATGGTCAAATATCAACTAACACTTTTCCAGGCAGCTCTACCCTTCATGCGCAAGCAGCTTTTGTAAGCAGGCGTCAACTCTGGAGACGGGGCTGCGATCGACTCGAACTTTTCAGCCACTCTCCAAATGACTCGCTGCTGAATCTTGGCACTTTACAAACAAGAAAAAAAAAGAAATCCTCGCAACCCCTCGCTGCGGCAAGGACTCCTTATGGTCTGGTTGTCCCAAAGGGGCAGCAGGTACAGAGAACCTAATTGACTTCTCCAAGACCACGCAGGAAAGTCTGTGACGGGGTAAAAACAGATGTCCCAAGCATCCCTGTCGTCATCTTTTCTTTCTTCCTAGGCCATGCTGCCTTTCAGAGTAGTGTCAATCGGTATGCTAATGTGAACGCTGGTAAAACACACCCTCATGCCAGCAAGGTCTGTGCCTGGGACCTTCAGTGCTGCAACACAGACTATTGCTACTTGAGCCAAACAAGTGGCTTTGCTAGCAAGTGCACTGGCAGGCTATTATCACGCACTCTGCCTGGCTCAGAGAAAGCTTATCCCCAATATCTGTCTTCCAGGCCCTGGTTGGGACTTGAATGACTCTCCAAATATGTCGTCAGTTGGGGTCTGGTGGTAAAACAATCAAGACATCTTGATATGGATTTCAAGGTGAGAATTCAAGACTTGAGCAAGACTCGCTGTGACAGCTACCACCCTTCCTCCTCCTCCCTCCCCATCCTCAGACCAACTGTAAATGAATGTTTGGGTTGGACAGACATGATGCCAGCTTTACCGTCGGCCACAGAAACTAGCATGCCTTAACCATGCTAGCCCAATGGGCCACCTAGGCTAGGGGAAGACTTTTGATCTAAACAGGCCATTAGCAATAACTGATCTTTGGATCATCGGCATCAGAGGTCAGGCAGCACCCACTTGAGCTCATGGAGTGGCTCGATCTGGTGGCAGCAATAGAAAGCTCTTGCTCTCCAATGGACTAGCCTCTAACGATACACACACAGCCCATGCTATACTCCCGAAAACCCTGCACTTAGGACGGAGCAATCCCATGCACCGGTGCAGGCTGGGGGTGACGGGCTGGGCAGCAGCTCTGCAGAAAAGGACCTGGGGGTAACAGGGGACAATATGGTGAATAGGAGCCAGCAGTGTGCCTTGGTGCCGAGAAGGCTAATGGCATCCTGGGCTGCATTGGTAGGAGCGTTGCCAGTAGATCAAGGGAAGTGATTCATCCCCTCTATTCAGCACTGGAGAGACCACATCTGGAGTCCGGTGTCCAATTTTGGGCCCCCCAGACCTGAACAACAAATCCTGCACAGGAAAGGAAGTGGACAAACTGGAGAGCCCAGCGGAGGGTGAAAATGGTTCAGGGGCTGGGGCACAAGACTTATGAGGAGAGGCTGAGGGAACTGGATTTCTTTAGTCTGCAGAAGAGAAGACCGAGGCGGGATTGAACAGCCGCCTTCAACTCCCTGCAAGGCGGGTTGCAAAGAGGGTGGAGCTGGGCTGGTCTCAGTGGGGGCAGATAACATAAAAAAGAGCAATGGTCTTAAGTTGCAGCAGGAGAAATTTGGGTTGGAAATTAGGAGAACTTTTTCCATGAGGAGCATAGTAAAGCACTGGAAAAGGTTTTCCAGAGAGAGGTGGTGGTATCTCCATCCTTGAAAGCTTTTAAGACCCGGCTAGACAAAGCCCTGGGTTTGATGATGCAGTTGGGGTTGGTCCTGCTTGGAGCAGGGGGTCGGACTAGATGTGACCTCCTGACGTCCCTTCAACCCTCATTTTCTATGAGTCTATGAAAGCCTCTTATTGCCGTCTGAAATATGTTGCACACAAGAGGAACTCTCACTGGTTTTTGGCCTTCTCCATGAGATTAAAAGCACCCTTGAGACCTATTCTTTAAAGAAAAGATAGGAAAGGACAATAAAGCCCCTAAACTGTCAACCATGCCTTGACAGCAAAATGCAAGATCAGAGTAGACTGAGATAAATGCAAAAGACATTGAGCCATAAGGCGAGAAGAACAGCAACAGCGTGCTGGGAAAGACGGCAGAAGGAAAACCACCTAATCGTGCCTATAATTTTACTGTAAATTGCAAAAGAAAAATGCATGCTGAGTAAAAGGGCATAAAACCGAGACTTCTCCAAGCGAACTGGTTTATGAACTCCTCCAAGCTCATTGAAATTTATGAAGTTTGTTAACGAGGAGATAGTGAGGAGAGTAAAGAAACTCTGGAGCCGGGGAAGCACAAGTGGAAATAATTAACCAGCTCCTAAATGTCAAAGGGAAATTCAAGGAAGCCATCCTGAGAACCTGCCCGGGGCAGCAGACACGGCTGGGATCTGTGCGCACGCCACCTCGGGACGTCTTTCTGCCAGCGATATGCAGCGTATTTACATATGCAGCTCAAGGTCCTGTTGGAGGTATTCCTCCCACCAGGGAAAAACAATGAACCGGGGTGATGGCTTTATTTAAAAAGCGCCTCTTTCAATATAAATACGGTAACGGGGGATTCTAGGAAGGCACTTTTGGGAAAGTAAGCAAATATTTGGCCGTTTAAGGCCCCGCTCACGTCATTCATCTTGATGAAGATGCTGGGCTCATTAGATGTGGCAGGATCAGGCCTGAGGTTATTTATATGGTCTCAGTTTGAGTCAGGAAATCATCTCCCTGTTGTTGCTGAAAGGGGAAAAGTCCATTTCTCATTCTGCTGATGATACAAACGCTCCGTAAACCACGTGCAGAAGATCCCTGGATCCACCTGCTCCCAGCGCCGGGCTGGGCCATTATCACTGGAAGAATCATTTTCTTTAACAAGCTCAAGGTGATGCTGGGGCAGCTGCCCTAAGAAACCAGGATGGCCTGGTGCCACTTGCACTAGCAGTGTCTCGTTAGAGGCTCAGGAGATGGATGGACGTGTCATCTGAAATGCAAGACTCAGCTAATTTCCCTTGCAGTGGCGAGATATATATATATATTGCTCAGCTTTCAGCAATTCATTTACAGGGATTTTTGTAAAGACATAATCACATTTGTTGGTAAGGGTAAGAGGAGGAGGAAAATGGGACAATCTGCTCTTTATTTAAATGAAAGGCGGAAAAGTCAATTTGGGTGGCTCATTACTCCAGGAGGGAGAGGGAAGGCTAAGTTGGCAGCTGCTGTTTCTCAGGGACTGTAGACTGATTCCTCTCATTTAGCAGTGAGATCTGAACAGCTGGGAGGTTTGGGTTTTGGAGCAGGACACTCTATTGGAAAATGACCTTTTCTTCCTATACAAGGAACGGAAAGTATTTGTATTGGATGAACAATTGAGTGTGACGCAGGCTGACACATCCTACGTTAACAGTGGGATAATAACTATGGCAAAGTTCAGAAAGTGGAGACTAGAAAGATCAAGTGGCCTGCCCGGGGTCTCACAATCAGATTGCGACAGCATAAGAAAGCAAATGAAGAGTTCCCAAGAACAGACTGCTGCCTCACTCACGAGACCATTCCCCCTTCCCGAATCAAGGGCCTGATTTGTTAAGTCGGTCCCTGCCTTCCTTCAGAAAAGGATCTCTAGTTGCCCTGTTCTCCAATTTCTCCATCAATAAGATGTCAATGCAACCTTCCTCCTCTTAAGATGTCAATGCAACCTTCCTCCTCCATTGCTCTTTTCCATGCCTGTGTGCCTTTCATCAGAAGAGGATCTCTAGTTGCTCTGTTCTGCAATTTCTCCATCAGTAAAATGTCAATGCAATCTTGACATCTTAAGATGTCAATGCAACCTTTTTCCTCTTCCGTTGCCCTGCTCCACACCTGCGGGCCATCTCCAAGAAGATCCCTTGTTCTCACTGGGCTTCCTTATGGCTTCATTAATTCTCAGCCAGGGTGGACGTGGAGAGCAGCTTATGTACAAGATACTCAAGGTCTGAAAGATCATCATTAGGAGGATCTTTCGTTCCAGAAAAAGGAGCCAGGGTGACGAGCTTGGAAGCACGTTGGAAATGGCACCCGTGGCAATTGCCCCCAATGCTGCATCGCAGGGGTAGTGTGTGTCGTCTACCATAGGCGTCTTGCCTGAAATGCAGGAGGAGACACGTTGGGCTGGGAACAGCCAGAAGAGGAGGTTATCAAACCAGAAGAACAAGCAGGCAT